GTATTTTGATTGAATGAAAATGAAACCTGGGGTATTGTGGGATGTAGCTACAGCAATGCTTGGAGGAAAATTTATAGCATATATTATATAGAAAAGAAAAACCTGTTTCAATGTTATAATTTAAGCTTCCACCTTAAACTTGGAAAAGAATAGCAAACCAAATATATAGCAAGCAAGAGGAAAGAAACTACAAAGATAAGAGCAGAAATCCATGAAATTGAAAACCAGAAATACTGGTAATGAAGGAAATCAATGAAACCAGAAGCTGGTTCTTCGAAAACAAAAAGATTGGTAAGTCTCTAGCCAGAATAACCAAGGAAAAAGACAACACAAATTACCAATATTGGGAATACAAACAAGCATATCATTATGGGCCTAAAATATACTACTGGAATATTAAGAATAACTTTTTTATAGATTTGACAATTTAAGTGAAAACAGAAATTCCTTGAAAGACAAGCATTACCATAGTTCACTTCAGAAGAAATAGGTAACCTTAATAGGTCCATATTTGTTAATGAGATTGAATTATATCACTAACCTTCTGACAAGTCTTCAGACCTAGGTTGCTTTACTGGTACGTGCTACCAAATAAAGAAACAATACCAATTCTGTATGGATTGTTTCCGAACATGAAGAGAAAGGAACACCTCCCACTTATTTTATGAGGCCAGCATTACTGTAGTGGCAAAGACATGACAAGAAAACGGGGGGGAAAAAAGAAACCCCACTCTCCCTCATGAATATAGACAGACACAAAAGCCCTCAGTAAATATTTGTAAATCCCGTGAAGTAAGTAAAAAGGATAATACATCATGACCAAGTAGAGTTGATTCTAGGATTCAGGATTGATTCAACATTCCAATATTCACATAATACAGCATATCAACAGACTAAAGAAAGAAAGAAATTTAACCATTCTACTAGATGCAGAAAATAATTTGACAAAATTTAGCATTCATTTATAAAAAAAAAAAGTGCTCAGCAAACCTTAAAAAACCTAGAGTTAACTACATTCTTCCTGGTAAAACACCAAATGCTATCCCCAAGATTGATGATAGGCAAGGGTGTTTGCCCTATTCTCTACCTTTCAACATCATGCTGGACATCTTAGCTAGTTCGAGAAAAATAAAACCAAACACTTTTTAGGTGTTATCTTAAAAGCAGTATTTACACATAATTCTTTTGTTTGCTCTTAGCTTACAACCTTTGAATGGAATTATGAGTTTATGTTTCTATTGTGGCTGTTAACTAATCTAAGCAGTAGCAAACATCTTGCAGTGGCCTGGTCTTCTCATTTAGCTGTGGAATACTTAGTTTTAAAATGAAGAATAGGAAGGCTAGAACTTAGTAAAATGAATGCCACACAGTCTCTTACTACAATAAAGAAAAAAGAATTGCACATTGTCTAGCTCATTTAAAGGGAATGTTTTGTCTCACAGTAAATTATTACCATCTGCATAGTTTATTATCATTTGTTTTTTAAACTTCCAGAAACTTGTCTTTGAATATATTAAAAGCATTCAATTCTTATTTGAAGAATAGCTTGTTTACTTTTTGAGGGGCAAATCCACAAACTACTGAAAGATACACATTATAGGAAAAATATAAAATTGAAAGTGATGGGCATACAGTAGAAACTACTGACAAAATAGAATTTATTTGACAATAAAGTGACAAGCAAAATAATGAATTTTGTATTTTTTATTTGTATTGATTTCAGGGAGAGGGAGAGATGAATACATCAATGATGAGAATCACTGATTGGCTACCTCCTACATGTCTACTGGGAATCAAGCCTGCAACCCAGGCATGTGCTCCTGACCAGAATCGAACCTGGGACCCTCCAGGCCTACACTCTATCCAGTGAGCCAAATTAGCTAGGGCTGTATTTCTTGTTTTTAAAGAAATGTAAGAGTTCAGAAATTTGTGTGTAAATTACATATACTGCGGTTAGGATAGAGTAAGGATATGTTTTTGTTTTTTATAGCTATTCTCGCATTTTCTAAGTGCTGTGTGAGCTACATGAAGATCACAACAAATTGGTGTGTTTTTCCCCCTAATATTGCTCATCTCATTTGATTTGGAATGCCAGTAATATTCAAGGCAGAACGGACAGAGGATGTCTAGAATGATAATAACATTTGCATTTATTAAGGTCTAAGTGCTAGGCACTGTTCAAGTGCTTGGAATATATTGTTTACTTAGCAAAGTAGCTGTGAACTAAGTACTATTATTACCATTGTATTTACCTGAAAATAAAATGGGGCTAAGTCAAGCATGTCAAACTGCTGTAAGTTTGACATGCTTGAGCTAAGGATTCTACCCAAAGTCACGGTCCTCTCAAAGACCTGTAGGGGGAATGGGAGATAAATTCTATAAGAGGTATAAATGAACTGTTAGGATACATCATTTCTTTTTATTAACATTGGAGAAAACTGCTCAGAGGAGAAAATGGCATTCGAATGTGGCATAAGGTATATAGTGGGTGGAGACTGTGGAGTGAGCAGACAAGGCACGGCCAGTGAAGAAGTGGGACAGTTGGGGGTGCAGTTTTGTAGATTGTGATCCAGTTTTGCTAAGTGTTAAGTTCCAAGCAGAGTATCAGGAGCCAATATCGGGAAGGTATGTTGAGGTCACTTTTGAGCTTTCAAAAATGCCATTAAAGTCAGTTTGGACATTTTGTTTAAGCACGGGAACACTTATTGAAAAAGTAAGATTTTCTGAGGCGAGAGCTGTCTATTTAGTTGAGGAAGCTACTGACCCTAATCACCTCCCAGTGCGTATTTCTCTAGTAACGTAAGATTTTTTTGCCTTACAAAAATCCTTAGCCAACTATTCTAACTGTAAGGTAGAATAAAATATTTCTAACTCTAAGGTTAGATTAGCTTTGCTGGGAGTATTTTTAATTACTTCCTACATAAAAATATTCAAAAAATATTTATCTAGAATATGGAAACAAGACAGTCTTGGTGGTGTATTTGTTTCTTATTGCTGCTGTAACAAATCATACTGTAACAAAAATGCCAGTTTATTCTTTTAAGTTCTGAAGGTCAAAAATCCCTAAAATTGGTCTTTAGGGCTGCATTCCTTCTGGAGGCTCAAAGGGGAGAATCCACTTTCTTGCCCTTCCCAACTTCTAGAGGTTGTTTGCATTCCTTAGCTGGTGGGCTAAGCTTCCAGTTTCAGAGACAACAGTGTAGCATTTCCCAATCTGTCTCTTACCCCTCTGCTTCTGTTGTCATATCGCCTTCTGTCTCACCAGTTTCCCTCTTATAGGAATCCTTATTAGTACATTGGGCCCTCCTATATAATCCAAAATTATCTTTCCAGCTCCGGATCATTAACTTCCTCTTATCTACAAAGTCCCCTTTGCCATGTAAAGTAACATATTCACAGGTTCCAGGGCATTAAAATGTGGGCATGTTGGGGGGACATTATTCAGCCTGCTACAGGTGTTATACATGCATATTAATAATCTAACATAGTATGATATTAGGTATTAGGAATAATATCCATAATGTTGGGGGTACTCAGAGTTTAAGCAGCTCATGGTTTCATGGTTGAACTGAATCTTGGAGATTAAGTAGGAATCCATCAGGCAAGAACAGGTGAGGAATTCCAGCAGAACGCTGTGTTACGGGTATGGTAGAGTAAGCCATGTGATGTGAGTGTGCTGTTTTGTAATTAATACCTTGTCTCCACTCTATTGGAGGTATGTGTAAGGTGTGTGTGAGTGGAAGAGAATGTCTAAGTCTGAGTAAGGGGCCCATCACAGGAGAACTGCATCTGCATCCTCACTTTCATTAGTGATCTCTCTCAGTGGTTAGCCTTCCACTTGGTGGTTCAGGGCCCTCTACTCTATTTTCTCCGTTGTGCATTGAAACATGAGAGAATTGGAGATTTGTCATTGTTAGTACTCAATGCATTCTTAAGGCACTTGGCTCATGAAAGTAAATGCATTATTATGAAAATATCATTTCAACCTGTATTTGTGTTTCAATTGTTCTTTTCTTCTGTGAGAGCCCTTGGTAAACAAGTGAGAATAGTGTGTGTGTGTGTGTGTGTGTGTGGATTGGTTGTGGGGGGGAGGCGGGCTGAGTAAAGGGTGTTACAGGGAACAGAGCTGAAGCAGTATTGGGTCCACCAAGCTTACTCTAAAAGGCCAGTCAGTTGGTGGTGATTTTGAAAATAAACCTGGCTGTGTGGGCACAGCTCCATCAGTAAATCTGAGAGCCTAGTCACAGCTTAATCATTTATTCTCCAATCTACTCTAAAACTCGTGGAAATCCGTTACTATCCATATCTTATGTTTTCTAAATTTGACTGATTTTTTGGTATTTAGGCATTTTAAACATAACATTTCTAATAAAGACTATCTTGTAACCTAGTTCCTTAAAAAGAAATATTGAATTTCAACTTGATTTTATATTAAAATAAATTCCTTTAGCCATCAATATTGCAATAAAAATTAATATTCTTTGACATTGAGATTATAATTAAACAGTACAACAAAGTAAATAATTTGTGAACAGACAGATCTGAATTTGAATCTCAGCATTATGATTTTTCTGTGTAGCCTAGAACAAGTTACTCAAGCTCTCCAAGTATGTTCTTTTATCTATTAAGTGAAGATAATAACAGCCTTGTGAATTTTTTTTTTTTTTTTTCATTTTAAAAAAAAGAACATAGATTCTGGGTTAAATCTCAGCTCCAGGACTTAAGTAACTTGCCCAAGAACAACCTGGTATTAAGTTCTGGAGCTGAGATTTAACCCAGAATCTATGTTCTTTCTTACTTATTTTAAGTGCCCAGTTACAGCCCTTTCCTCAGCTTTAAAATGTGGATGGCAATACCACGTTTCTCCCCGGGCATTATGAAGTTTAAACAGGTCAAGAATATAAAAGGTTTAGAATAGTTGTTGCCATAAAGTGTTTTTGTCATCATTATTTTTAATAATTTGTTGAGTAAAATGTCATTTTTGCCACTTTTTATTTTAGGTGAATCTTGGAAGCAACCAGTACCTCTTCTCCGTCACAGTGGACCCTAAGGAGATGCCCTGCTTCTGTCTGCGCCACGACGTGGACGCCCTGCTCTGGCAGCCGCACTCCAGCAAACAGGACGAGATGTGGGAGCACATCGCCACTTTCAATGCCTTAGGTACACGGCAGGCTTCTCCTTTTAAAAATTGGAACTGTCCTAATTACATTGGGATTGATTTCTGCCATACTGTGGTTGCTTGTACTATAGTTGATGAATGTCAGTGCTTTTGGAACAGTAGGACTAAGCTGTTTTATGCTTGTACAGAAGATCAATGCAGAATAGAAATCAAAGTGGTTAACTAAACACTTGAAATATTGAAATCATTTGTTTCAATTAAGCTATACCGTATAGAATACGAACAAGGCGTTTGACAATACCCTACTCAAGCATGTCATACTCGTGGCTGGCAGGCCACATGCCTTCTTTAAATAAATGAGGCTTGCATGAATCTGGTATTCACATTTCTTTAGAGTATGCTTCAAAAACAGAATTGCTCTAAGGCAGTGGTCAGCAAGCTCATTAGTCAACAGAGCCAAATATCAACAGTACAATGATTGAAATTTCTTTTGAGAGCCAAATTTTTTAAACTTCTTCTAATGCCACTTCTTCAAAATAGACTTGCCCAGGCCGTGGTATTTTGTGGAAGAGCCACACTCAAAGGGCCAAACAGCCGCATGTGGTAATGTACATTAGGAGACATCTTTTATGGGACATAAGTGCAAAGAACCATTCTAAAGTAAAGCACTTAGGGAAAATGGTGACAAACAAATAAAATTTATTCTGTAAGATAAAGGGGAAAATACCATTTTATTTTTTTTTAAGCTAGGTAGGGATGGAAAAAATTTTTAACTACATAGTTGTAGACTTAATGCAAGAATTGATTTTATATCAAAATATAATACATTAGTATTGTATGGGAGACATTTTTTATATGAATCAGCCACAATAACTGCTTTATTGAAAGGTTATTTTAAATTGGCAACAGAAGTAGAATTATGCATTTTGATTGCTATATGTGCACAATCCTATTGGGGAGATTTGTCAGTTATCCTTTGAGGTAATAATAGAGCTGTTAAATTGGTTAATTCAGACTTCAAATGGATTTTTATGACCTGAAATAAAGTTTAAGTAATTTAGCTGCTTATTTCTAGCCTTTCCACTATAATTTCTATTTTTTCATTTTCTATCCACTTTTTTTTATAAGAGAAAACGCTTACCATAATTTTCATAAGCTCAGAACCTCCATTTGTAATCCCAGGTCCCCTAGTATAGAAGAAATGTGTTATGCTTGAGTTTAAGGAAGAAATGTGTTATGCTTGAGTTTAAGGTAAATCAACATTATAGATATTATGTGCATTATTAATTCTGTCAGGGTTAGCCAGGAGAACTAATTCTAAGCTATTCACATAGGAACCTACATCCTGCTTTTCCTGCTCACACCCTGCTTAATGAGAAAAAAACTGTTCATCTGTCTGTGCTCAGTGGTTCCTTTTCTCATTTATTGTTTGATGAACTTAATTTACTTTAGTGTTACATTTTTTATCTCATGTTACAGCTGAAAATCCCAATTTACATATAAGCTTTTTAAATCTATAAAGTTAATTGTTAAAAAGATTAATACTGTTGTTGTTTTCAAAGTTTAATTAAGGGTTGTCCTAATGAAGTTTTATAAATTAGATACTTTTGAATGTTCTTTCAAGTTTGAAGTGTTCTCAAGGTTCTACTTAATGGAAGCTGAATTACAACAAAATTCTGTTTTAGTGTTGGTAAAAATACTAGCACAGAAGTAGTAAGAACATATTGTGCATATTAGTACCTTCAGGAATGAGGCCTGCATTATGAAATAAAATGGTAGCCTATTAAGAAAAAAGAAAAAGATTGTGTCATGACCCATCTGTGATTGATGAACTCAATTATCTAATTGGCATTTAAAGTTATATTGGCATGTTTCTAGCATTTAAAATTTTAGCTGTTTAGTGTTTTAATTATTCATGGATGTCAGATGGTGCTATATATTATAGTTCCTTTCTTGAAGAGTTGAAACCCTGTCTACTTTGTTCCTTAGGTATTAAAGCTGTATTTTTGCACCAGCTGGGAGAGATTGATTGTGGCTAATCATTAATAGTTCATTGTTGAGTATTTATGGTATATCTTTAATTTAGGCATTTTAATAATGAATCACAGCTTTTCTCTTTCTATTTAATATATAGTTTTTCTCTTGTCTTATTTGTTGGCAGGCTATGTCCAAGCATCAAAGAGAGACAAAAAATTTTTTGCCTGTGCTCCGAATTACTCCTATGCAGCCCTGTGTGAGTGCCTGCGTCGAGTGTTCATCTACCGTCAGCCCACTCCCATGTCCACTGTACTTTACAACAGAAAGGAAGGCAGGCAAGTCGGACAGGTTGCTAAGCAGCAAGTAGCAAGCCTAGAAACCAATGATCCTATAGTAGGTTTTCAAGCAACAAACGAGAGATTATTTGTTCTGACCACCAGAAACCTCTTTCTAATAAAGGTGCAAACGGAGAAGTAGTTACTCCACCATGCTGGCTCCTCTGTGCTGGGGAGTAGGTGTCAGCGGTAGGGAAGGCTGGGCAGTTACTGTAACCTGTTAAGTTTTCATATGTTAAAAAAATGATGTTGTATTTTATTTTTAAAAAGATATTGGAAATATATCCAAGAGATTATGATTCTATAAAAGCTATGGAATGAAGCTGAAAATTTAGAGAAATTGGCTTCTGTAAAAGACGTAGATACCATTAGCAGTGTAATTATTTTTTAAAAGCAAAGGCTAGAATCTTTTATATGAAAAAATGTACAATTCAGTGTTTTAAAAATAAAAATATTTATCGTGTACTCTGTTTATTGACATCATTTCTATGTTCTGTACCTATAGAATGTATATAATAGGATAATAGTAAAACTGTTGATGCCTGTAAATAATTAAATGAACTTAATAGCTGAGTTAGAAGGTGAAATATAAGAGAAGTCTAAGCAGATCTAATATTCTTAAGTGTGTTTTAAGTCACTAAATTTGTGGTAATTTGTTAGAGCAACCATAGGAAACAATCTTATCCCAAAATTAATTCAAAATGGGTCATAGATCTAAATGTAAAGCCTGAAACTATGAAACTTCTAAAAGATAACAAAAGCAAATCTTTGTAACCCTGGGCGAAAGGTTTCCTGCATGAGACCAAAAGTGAGATCCATGAATGAGAAAATTGAAAAACTGAACATCAAAAGTAAGAAATTATGTTCTTAGACAGTTTAAGAGAATGAAAGACAAGCCACATACTAGAAGAAACTTACAAGTGCATATCTGATAAGAAACTAATATCCACAATATATAAAGAATCTTCAAAACTTAGTAAGAAAATGATCCCATGAATACTTTAATGGGCCAAAGTATTAAAGAAACATCATCTCAGATAAGATATATGAATGGTAAGTAAATACATTAAAAGTTGCTCAACATCAGTCATTAGGAAATTGCAAAATGAAAGCACAATGAGACATTACCACATAGCTACTGAAATGCCTCAAATTTAAGATTGTTCATACCAAGTTTTGAGAAGGATATGGGGCAATTGGAATGCTTATACATTGCTCGTGGGAATGTAACATCGAACCACGTTGGAAAGCAGTTTGGTAGTTTTCTGAAATGTTTTACACACATCTGCCATTTGTGCCAGCGACTCCACTTACCCAGTCTCTTACCCAAGAGAAATGGAAGCCAAGCCTGGGAGCAAGCATCAGCAGTTGGTGAGTGGACAAATACTAGTATGTTGTGATGTATCCATGCAATGGGCTGTTTCCTGACAATAAAAAGTAATCAAGTATTGATACCACCAATATGGATGAATGACAAAATAATTATGCTGAGTGAAAGACCAAAGCACATACTGTATGACTCAACTCATATGAAAGTCTAGAAAGTACCAACAACTTTCTACTGATAGTAACGTTATTGGTTGCATAAAAGGGAAGAGTCAAAGGAAGCATTTTGGGTAAAGGATATGTTCATTATCTTAATTGTGGTGATAGTTTCAGGAGTGTATACATAAGTCAAGCTTTGTTAAATAGTACACTTTAAACATGTACCGTGTTTCCCCGATAGTAAGACATCCTCCGAAAATAAGACCTAGCGCATGGAAAGATAAGACATCCCCTGAAAATAAGACCTAGTGCAACTTTGGGAGAAAAAATTAATATAAGACACTGTCTTATTTTTGGGGAAACAGAGTAGTTCATTTTATGTTCATGACTCCCTTGATAATGATCTTAAAATTTTTTTTGAATTTGATCCATTTCTTCTTCTATTGGTGCAAACATGTTTTTCTTGTTTGAAATATCATTTTAGGACATTTTTTATATTTTGGAAATAAACATTCCCTTTTTTTTTTTTTTTTTTTTTTTTTGGTAGCTATACCATGATTTCTTTTAAGACCTTATATCTCTATGTTGCTGGCTCCATCCTTGGCACTATCACATAAAGTTAAGCCAATCAGTACTTTGCATTTCCCTGGTCATGGAGACTGGTTCATAGGTGGCCTCTTGACCCATATAGAACCAGTGATTCACAATGAACATTTGCTGTCATTGCTGACACAAAAACTTACAGTAAGGTGAGGACCGTTCAAAATGTGGAACCGACAGGGATGGAGCTAAGAGGCTGTGAGAGAGAACATGACCTTGATTACACCATCTAGTCCTACCTGGAAGTGCTTAAATCTAGATCTGTTCTTGACTTCAGGGTAAGATTAAGTTCTTTTTTGCCTCAAAGCCAGTGGCTGTCAGCAAACTCATTAGTCAATAGACCCAAATATCAATAGTACAATGATTGTCATTTCTAAACTTAAACCATATAGGTAGGTACATTGTTATTAACTTAACCCTTTGCACTCCGCTGTCCCCTCTCAGGGGACATCGGAATTCTAGCATATCACTCGGATGTCCCCTCTCAGGAGACATTGCAGTTTATTAGTGATTACGGGGAATTGAGTTATTCAACGCATGTTTCGCAAAGTAGCGTCGAGTAGCTGGTAGCCAATGTCCAGAATGGTTCGGAGTGCAAAAGGTACTCCTAAGCTGACCTTCGCTAAAAACTCAAGGGGCCAAAGAAATGCAGTTTGCCGACCACTGGCTAAGCCAATGGGTCGAAAGAGGCCTGATTCCATGGTGAAAGTTATTTTGATATGACACTATATCCTTCACATGAGACTTTTATTTAAAGTGAATTAAATGTTTTATTGATAGTATCAGTAAATAGGGATTTAATAAATAAATTGCAAATGCTTCTTAAAGGGGGAGATTTTTATCCACTTCAAAATAGTTTGCTCCTCAAAAATATATGTACATCTATGAAAATGTAAGTATATTATTTTTAATATATACCTATGAAAATAAATTTATAAATTAACTTCTTTGGTGCCGGGGGGAGGGGGAAAATTATGGGATTTTTGGGATTTTTTAAATCCTAAAACTTTTCTGACTGACATTTTGCATATGCCCTGCCCACATTTCAAATCTTCTATTATAAATGATTATATTTTTAAGCCATTTAAATACATTCTTCTACAACTGATTTTTTAAAAAGTATTTTGAGATTCAGCTTTAATGTTTGCCAAATACCCAACATGCATCTCTTACTCCTTGAATAATGGTACCAGATGAATCTCTTACTCCTTGAATAATGGTACCAGATGAATGTTGAGGAAGATTGAGTGTATTAATATTAAAGCAAATATTGCCCCCTCATCTGCCATCTGCTTTTTCTCAGGAAAAATGTAATTCAGCAAGGGACATTAATTCAGTCACTGAAATCATGAAAAGAAGCCCTTTGCAAAGAAATTAAATTCTCAGGTTCTTTACTAAATAGCAAATATGTATTCATTGGGTTTTGTTTTGTTTTTCTGCCTGCAAATATACACATCACTAGAGGAAAAAAGAGAAGGATGAGGATATCTTAGGTGGAAGTACCAGGTCATAAAAGTATGAAGTGTATTCTATAATGCTGGTATAATTGGTTCTGCTGGAAGGTTTATTACTGGTGCTTCAGGAACCCAATTGGGAGCGGAGAAAAACTGCTGGCAAGTCAAGCACAATATGGAAATTTTTTGTGGAAAACAGTCTGGCACTTACTCAAAGGGTTAAACACAAGTTACTATATGATCTAGCAATCCCATGCCTTCACACATACCTGAGGAATAAAAACTTGTACATTAATGTTCATAGTAGCATTCTTCATAAAATACAAAAGTATTGCCGAAACCGGTTTGGCTCAGTGGTAGAGTGTCAGTCTGCGGACTGAAAGGTCCCAGGTTCGATTCCGGTCAAGGGAATGTACATTGGTTGCAGGCACATCCCTGGTAGGGGGTGTGCAAGAGGCAGCTGGTCGATGTTTCTCATCAACATTTCTAGCTCTCCATCTCTCTCCCTCTTCTCTGTAAAACATCAATAAAAAATATTTTTAAAATAATTTAAAAAATAAAATACAAAAGTATAAACAACCCACATGGATAAATAGATAAAGTGATATATCTATACAATGGAATATTACTCAGTAATAAAAAGAGAAAAAGTATTGCTCCTTGCTGGGTGGCTCAGTTGGTTAGAGCATTGTCCTATGCACCAAAAGGTTGCAGGTTTGATTCCCAGTCAGGGCACATACCTAGGTTGTGGGTTCAATCCTCTGGTCAGGGGGTGGACAGGAGGCAGTCGATCGATATTTCTCCAATTGATATTTCTCTCTCCCACTCTAAAAATCAATGAAAATATATCTTTGGGTGAGGATTAAAAAAAAAAAAAAAAAAAAAAAAGGAATGAAGTACCAAAACTTCCTACAATGTGTATGAATCTTGAAAACATGCTAACATGTGGGGAAAAAGTCTAAAAATAGGCTATGTGTTGTATGATTTCATTTATATGAATAAGTAGATCAATAGAGAAGGAAAGCAGATTGTTTGCCAAGGGCCGGGGGAAATATGGCGACTGCCAATGGGTATACAGGATTGGGGTGAGTGATGACAAAAATGTTCTAAAATTGATTTGGGTAAAGGCTGCACAATTCTGATTACACTAAAAATCATTGACATACTTTAAGTAAAAATCATTGACATACTTTAAGTAAGAGGATGGATTGGTATCCTATATAATAAAAGGCTAATATGCAAATTGACCGAACATTGGAATAACTGGTCGCTATGATGTGCACTGACCACCAAAGGGCAGACATTCAATGCAGGAGTTGCCCCCTTTTGGTCAGTGTGCTTCCACAGGGAGAGTGCCACTCAACCAGAAACTGGGCTCATGGCTGGCAAGTGCAGCATTGGTGGCAGGAGCCTCTCCTGCCTCTGCAGCAGCACTAAGCTGTCAGTGGGACATCCCCTGAAGGATCCTGTTGAGAGGGCACAGGCCGGGCTGAGAGACCGCCCCTCAACCCCCAGTGCATAAATTTTGTGCACCAGGACTCTAGAATCTTAATAAAGTCATTATAGAAACAGAATGACATAACAAAGCTAAGAAAGTCTCAAA